CAACTTTCACTTCCCGTGTCTCTAGGGGTATAGGCCACAACCATTTCATTTTTTGCACTCCACATAATATTTTCTAGCAATATCATGATTCCTATGTATAATTCCAACTTGTCTATGTGATAGTGGGTATTTCATGCACATATATAATGTAGTTAGAGTGGCTTCTTGTAGGTTAAAAGCAGTATTCCTTGTAATAATGTTATATGAAGAAGGTGCATCAATAATCAGATATCTTACCTTTGATTAATTTTGCGCATTCCTCGTCCCCAATCATGATCTTTAGGGTAATATAGCCCTTTACCCACACTTGCTCGCCCGAGAATCCCACCAATGATTCTTGAAAAGATTTAAGGTCATCCAAATCCAGGTGAAGTCTTTCAAAAGCATCACAATAAAGGATATCTAGAGAGCTTCCTTAATCAATCACTTTTAATCTCCCAACAATCACACTTTTTGATTATGAACATTGGATTATTGTCATGCAGATGGATGCCTGCTACATACCTCTCAGAGAAGATGATATAAGATTCCAAAGCTCCTTTGTCACCAGAGTCAGGGCTCGTAGGAGATTCTTCAATTGTTATTAATGGTGTGGCACCTAGGTTTGTCTTCGCCCCTTGCTTGATTCCTTGCCCTTTTGGACCCGGGATTCTCGAAAGCATCTCACCCTTGAGATCCGGATCCATCTGGCATTGGGGCGAAATCCTCCTTACAAATTTCTTCAAATGACCCTCTTGGATGAGGCGCTCTATCTCCTTCTTAAGTTTGTAGCAATAATCTGTATGGTCAGGCCCCATGTGTAACACCCTAATTCCCGACTCGTCATAAAGTAAAATATTTAAATAAATAAACTCAATCAACTAGAGTGTCATACATGATTCACCATTCATAAAAACCAAAACAATATAATCTTTTGAATTAAGCAGCGGAAAACATATAAATTTGACTTAAAGGTCTCATCAATCGCATAATAAAAAAATTGGTTTAATAATATGCAAAATGACATAAAATATGTAATAAGAAAAATAGAACAACTTGTCCCTAATTTTACATATCAAAGCAAATCCACTAAATACCCGAACGATAAATCAACTAAGGAGGCATCAACGATGTCCTCTACCTCAAGCAGCCACTCCTTAACCTGATTTTTTGTATCCCATAGGAGCACATACACCACACCAAACAAAAAGGGGTGAGAATGCACTCAAATATAGTAGCGGTGAAAAACATAGCAAGGGTAGAATATTCACATAATTATTGTTCGTATTAGTTATTCATAATTCAATCACAATCAACAACAATACAATCATAAACATCACCAAATAATGCAATGTATATGCAATGTTCTTATCACTTCATCACCATATGCATGTGGTACCAATCCTACTCACCAATTAGGATGTTGGACTTATAGTACTGGATAATCCCATCACCAATATTTTGGACAATCAGAGTTATATTACTGATTAAGTCCCATCACCAATTTGTCACCCCGAAACCTAGACTCTGAAATACATGATACATGAAAATGCCATAACAATGTCATATGAGATTCATCACTAATGATCCTTATCGGACCCACATACTTCACCATAATACATCACCAATTATAACTCACAAATATATAGTATTATACGATATATCACTAATACAACACCATAAAATTCACCACCAAAGGGCATTTAGTCAATCACAACAAGAAAACTCCTTCCATCATAATTAACCATTCATAACATTATAAATTAAGGAAAAAAATTATTCACGCCCTTAAATGCATATTTTTCCTCTTAGGGAATTACCATGAGATAGTACTATGTATTAGCTTTTCAATGCTTCAAACTACACCTCAAACGGAGTCGCAAAACTCAAGTTATGATGAAAAGAAATTCTGAAACAAAAATGCTCCCCGTGATTCGAATCATGTGCAATCTCTGATCGAAATCAATCTGGGCAGAAGGATTTTTTTTCAAAAATTTTCCCATGATCCAAATCATGTTAAAACCATGATCCGAATCAATCTGGACAACATTGAAAAACACAATTTTCTTCCTAAAACCCATTTTTTCAACCTAAATCTATCACAATCCAACTTTTAACGGCCATTATCATAACGTATCACCTAGACCATTTATTTAACCCATAAATCGTCAAGTATCATTACCATCAATCATCAATTCCACATATAATCATCATCATGTTCATCAATTATTCATGAATCTAATCTTATGTTAATAAAACCAAAACACATCCACAACAATTACGACATTCAGATTCACATAATCACATTCTGTATAATTTTCAGTATGAAATAGAATACAAATTTAAACATCAAACATAGAAATCATCATATAATATTCATAATTTTCATCAAGAACACATAAGCCCCATCAATGGAGAAAAGAGATGAAAACCTAGAGTATGGTGAGGATTCATCTATACCCTTCATGCAATAACACCTATATTAGAGTAGTCTCCCCTTACCCGAATCTTCCAGCAAAAGCAACTCATCAAAGAAAGGTTGACATTCAAGGATTTTAGTCACCTCAAGAGGAGCAACCTCCTATTGGCACCGGTTGATGTGAAATACGTTATCCTCCAACGTTTGATTCTAGATACACAAGTTTTCCATGGCATCTTCATCGCCATCAGACTCACTATTGGTCGACACCTTCTTGTCCATCATGATAGATACATGTGTTGGACACGAGGATTGCAATCTGGTCGGATAACGCGATAATCGCCAAAGTCAGTTCTATTGGGCCCCATTGTGGGAGCCACTTGTACTTATGAAATATACAATACGTGACAAGCCCTTGTAGTTAAGGAATGTTAGAGGTTTTTAGGGTTTTTTTCGTGTTAGAGCAGGCTCATGCATGAAAGGTGGGAAGCTCGGTTCTGTGGTGTTTTTAAGAAAATATTGAATGTCCCTCTAAACCTTATAATTGAGGTATTTATAGAATCTATTGGTTATGGATCTTATGCTCTAAGGAAGTAGTGACAACACTTTCCACTCTTAGGAGTGAGGGATAAGGTTAGTTACCTCCCATATTATCCTGGATAATGTGACATTTCCTTCATGACTTCCTCTCCATACCGTGATGGTAGGGTCACACCTCTCCCCTCGTTTTCATAAACGAGTGAGTAATCCAATAAAGGGAATTTATTGCAAGTAATGGGCGGATATTCCAGTAGGTGAGTAACTAGAAAGATGGCAAGGGCAATATATTACATCGCTCGTCTTTAGATAACCCCCTATGTCTCCTTTTATGGGCTCTTGATGAATAAACCAATACATATTTGATAGAATATGTATTTATATTTGTATATATGTCCCACATCGATTATAACATGTAATGAACTATAAATTTCTCTATATATAAAACAGTCTTTGTAGTGCTATTCTTACACGGTTCATCTTAATATCTCTCAATATCTTACATGGTATCAGTAGAGGTAACGATCCAAACCAAATCAAAGTCGCTGCCACATCAGCTCTTCCTACATCACAACGACCTAGGGGTGGAAAAACGGGCTCGGTCCGTCGGCATGCCCGTTTTCCACCCCTACTGCCATCGTTGTCGTAGCTCCTCCTCCAACATCGTCTCTGTTGTAGCTCTTCCTCCAGCGCTGCCGCCACCTCCTCTACCTTCACTGCCGCTGTAGTTTCTCCTCTAGCATTGTCGCCACTATCGTAGCTCTTCCTCCAACACCGTCTCCCTCGTAGCTCTTCCTTTAGCACCGCCTCCATCATAGCTCCTCCTCCAACACTGTCGCTACCATAACTCCTTCTCCAGCACCGCCGCCGCCACAGCTCCTCCTCCGGCACTATCGTTATCGCCGTAGCTTCTCCTCCAGCACTGCCGCCACCGTCGTAGCTCTTCCTCCAGCATTATCATCGTCATCGTAGCTTCTCCTCTAGCATTGTTGCCGCTGTCGTAGATCTTCCACCAGCACCATCGCCGTCATAACTTCTCTTCCAGCACCGCCGCCATCGTAGATCCTCCTCCAGCACAGTCGCTAACCCCTTCTACTTCTGCTGCACCACTCTCTGCCACGTTCAGCATTGCACCGCGTCTCTCTCTATCAATCACCATGTCTTCCTCTTCCGCGTTCTTCATGTTCCTTCTCAGTACTGGATTGCTGATATCTTCACTAAAGGCCTCCTTAGAGTTCTCTTTGATGATTTTCTGATTATTTTAAGCGTTCGTCAACCTCCCTTATATATATAACAGTCTCCATAGTGCTATTCTCACACAGTTTATCTCAATATCTTACGATATGATTAGGGAGTTATCAAGTTTATAATGAAAGGACAAAGCACATTGATATTCACTTACACTTTGTTAAAGACATGATTTAATGAGATTGTGGTTGAAATAGTTGCTTTGGAAGAAACTTTGACTGGTGTGTTCACCTAGTCATTAGTTAGATCAAGGTTTAAGGATTGATTGGAATTGATCAATTTTATTAAAGAGTAATTTAAGATTGGAGAGAGCATAGTTGATGGTTACATTAACATCAACATTAATTTGAAAGAAAGGTGGAGATTTGTACGCATGCCTTAAAATCTTTCTATTTGTAAAAATGCAGACTGGATTTTCTTGGGCATCATTATCACACACGTAAGATGCCAAGCAGGGGCTATGAGCCGGGTGTTGTAAGATTCATCAAGGGAAGGATATGGATTTTTTCACTTTATTTCTTTTAGGAGCTTCTAGTGGGTTGTGTGAAAAAGTAGTTTTTTAATACACCACCAACAACTTATTTGCAACTTACATGAGTATTTATAGGTACTAGACACAACTTGATCATGTGATACAATGAAAATATTTAGACTAACATCTTAAAACTTCCTCTCCTATGAATTATGAGTGCTTCAATCTAGATAAACATATAAAAAAATATCATGAATCCTAAAATACCAAAAACAAAGTTTTATTTAGTTACTCCACTAAAACAATAGCACCATTTTCAATCACTGGTAATATAAACAAATGGAACTAGTGATCTTGGAATGAGATTGGCATGAAAGCTCCATGAAATCCATATGGAACTCTACAAGGCAATTCAATTTTGACAACTGTCTGAGCACAGAAATTCTTTGTATCAATTATATGAACCTAAAAAAATTGAATAGAAGAAAATTAGTAAATGTGTTGATAAATGTTTTAATTAGTAATAATTGGAATTTGCAAGAATACAAACTACTAAACCTACTTGAGATTTGTTAGTATCTTCATTGTGAACAAAAGTAATGATCCAACCATCATCTTCTTCAACACCTCCATCTCTAGCCACAAAGGCTGCTCCATTGCAATATGTATTCTTCTCAAACATATGATATTCCATCTTTATACCTTCATCTTTTTCTATCTGCTTCACAAAATAATCTAAGTTATCACATTCATAATTAATGCTACTAAAGAGTTTGTTATATCAAACTTTTTTTACCTTCGCTTCTTCAAAATATAGCTTTGCTAAACCTCTATACTTTTGCACGTCTAAATAACACAAAAGCATAATCATGTTAAGAAATAGCATAATCAAACATGATCTTATAAGTTATATTGTTACCTTGAGTGGTAGAGCTTGCAATGTGATCAACTACTTGTGTGTAAGCATATCTATGCTTAATACCTACAAAGTTTTCATTGATCATTGGAAAATCCATATAAACAACTTGGTCACCACAAAGATCTTTCTCCTTGACCTCTCCGGTTCGCATGTTCAACCTCCATTCATAAGAACGAGATAAGCAGTCAAATTCTTTCGAACACGGGTCAGGCTTAGGAACTAAAGAGTCAAGCGATCTGCATCCCCTCACTACAACCTGATGATCCACAAAATTAGACATTCCTTCAATTTTCAGCTTATTTCTATAAGCTCTATAACTTTGCAATCAACTTAACTTTATTTTATCTTTTATTATAAAAACAACTTATACATAAGCACTTATATGATAACAACTTGCCTCATCTCCATCCTCAAAAGAATTGATAATATGAAAGGTGCAATTAGGTTCCACTTCAAACCATTTGATAGACTCGGCATTACCATAGCGAGGCATTACACCAATCCTTGCGTATTCTTTCTTATCATACTTCATCAATCTACATTGAAACAAGTGAATCTTAGTAGCTTCACTTTTCTATATCTTAAATTGAATGCATTCAATTCATATGAACTCACGGTCCTCCTCTTAGAAGTCTGATAAGATCAATGGTTAGTGGAAAATCCATGATCACATTGTACCTGCAAAAACAAAATCACATGAAAACATATTCTACAATGCAATTTTGATTTCTTGTTTTGCAAGAAAGCTTAATAGTCTATAATGCTTGCTACCTTTGCGTAACACCTATGTCATGGCAAATACTACACCTGTTTAGTTTGATATCAACTTTATGAACCAACTTCTTTCCATCAGCTGAAAAATAAGAGAGAAAAAGAAAAATGTCAAACTCTCGTAGTCATAGTTATTGTTCAATGCTGAAAGTAAATAATTAGCATTAAATAAACTTATTTTTTCAACTTTTTTCATTTACAAAGAACAAGAGCATACCAGAAACAATTCCAACCACAACATAAGGTTTAGTTGGCGCAAAACCAAATATAACTAGCTCTTCTGTAGTTGGAGCTTTCTGTGATGATACATGAAAAAGAATTTGTGACTGAACAAACAATGAAAGAGTGTTAAAAGTGTTGATTTACAAATATAGTAAAAGTTAAACAAAAACCTTTGGATGACTTGTAAAAGGTCGATTCCAAGCTTCACTGAGTTCCCAATTGTTCAAAGTTTTCAAGGAAAATATATCAATCTCTTGTGGCATGTGACTTTCAGCAATTGAGTAAAACTTCCCTGAATGCTCAAACACATTGGTGTTGCTAATGTATTTGTTTACTGTGCCTGATCTCAACCAGTTCAATAGATAAGCAGACAAAATGGCAAGTGAGTGGCCTTCTGCTGCCGGGAGAAACATTGGTTTGTTTCTTTGTTTTTCAAGATTGTATGTTTCAGTTTCAACGTGTTTGTTGTTGTAGATGATTTTCCAGGTTCCATGACTTGATTTTTGAAAATACAATGCATGAAGCATTCCTTCTCCTTCCACCCAAATGTGACTTGACTTACCAAATATTGAATTTGTTGATTTTAGCCCTCCAAAAAGTGGATTTGATCCTGCATGTTATATTTGTATGTAGATAGTGTCAGGAGTTTCAAAATAAAGGAAGTCCTAGATTCCTATAAAAAGCATAAGGTAAGCTAGATCCTTATAGCTTCAAAGTATGGACCTCCACATTCCAAGGTGTGGCTAAGTAAAGGATAGACCAGCGATGGAAATAAGAGGCGGAAAATTTGTTTGATTATGCTCTATCACACCTATATGTATACATATATGTGTAAACTATTGCATAGCATGTATGAACAATTATTCAATGTGAATAAGATTACTCAAAGTCTGAAACGTACAGGAATGACGAAATTAGGGTACAACTGACGCAATTGAGGTCTGAAAGAAAGATTTCCACCTAGTTGTTTGAGACGCTTTGCATGTCCGACTACAACAATCAATTCTCTAAAGCGTTAAACACGTCAAAAGACTTTAGGGGTATTCTCGGAGACACTTTACACTTCCAACCACAACAATCAATTCTCCACAACGCTGAGCACGCCAAAAGATTTCATGGATGTTGTCGAAGAACCTTTGCACGTCCGACTACATCAATCAATTCTCCACAGCGCCGAGCGCGCCAAAATATTTCAAGGGAGCTTTCAGAGATATTTTTCACGTTCGACTATAACAACCAATTCCTCCATGGGTGCTGTCTGAGACGCTCTGCACGTCAGACTACAGTAATTAAATAACCAATAGTAAAAAATTACACACATTTAGAAGTGCATTCTCAAAAGACTCTCTAACCGCCCCAAGACTCTTAGAAGTGCATTCTCTCAAACCTTTGAGTCAGAGAAGCATTTTGACTACGCAGAAACTCTAACTCCTTATGGGCAGAATTGAGAGCCTCAATCTTCCCATCAATCATCCTCGCCAGGTGCATCACTTGAACGCCTGCACCGCCGTGGAAATTGAATAGAGCCAGAGCTTTGCTTACCTCTTTTAAAGAGGCATAAGCCTTATACAGCTCCCTTAAGTACATATCACGGGCCTGATCCTTCCAAAGAGCTTCCCAGTTGCCAGGTCCGCCTATAGTTAGAGCAACAGAAGCTTGCCCAACAGATCATGCCTGAATGTTCAGCTCTTCCTCTAGATCCTGCCTGAAAAGATTGGCAAAAAATAAAAAATCATCATCAAAGACTGAATCCTAACACTCAGAAGAATGATCGTGACCAGTCGCCAAATCCACGATCGTTATCCTCATCAGCAATTGAACGTCAATTAAATGCTTCAAATGTTTCTTAGGAAAGTCTTCAAAGACTCTTATCGTCGGCACCAAAGAAAACAACTCCCGTCATGTTGATCGGGCCAGGGTACCATAATGGCAGAGAAAAAGACGAAAAAACAAGGTGATAGAAGGGTTCTTTTTCAGATACTCACACCCATGTTGCTAAGCCTTTACATACGCCCAACTCGAAAGGTGGAGTTGTGAAGGATCCACCTCCATGTAATTAAAAACACCAACCTCAAAAGCAGTAAAGGGTAAACCAAAATCCCAAGTCGAGAAGAGATATCCATAAAGAGGGATTATATAGTCATCATACAATGCATATTCTATTGTCCCCATTTGGGGTGGCGGAACCCCAATGTGACGGTTCACTCACTTCAAGGAAAGCCTTGTACATGCTATCCTATTTGGTAAAAATAGTCATAGTGGAAGAATATATGGAGACTTCTCATGAATATGTTGGATTCGTATGATTTCCTTTCACATTTTTCCAAATTGTTTTAGTCATATCGCGCTAATGTTATCGAGTACAAGAAGACAAAATTCCAAAGGGGAAAGATGTAACTGCTCAAGAAAGAGGAGAAAAGAAAGGTCTAAAGGGAAATAACCCTACTTATTCATATACTTATGTTTTAGCAATATAGAAGGAAAATTGTCCTATTAACGATCGCATCTCTCGCACGTAACACATCAGATGTTTTAGTTCCCAAGAATGTTGATAATGGCGCCTCCGAATAGACATTTGACATTACAAACAGTAGAAAGATGAAGGAGGGTGATCGAGATTCGAGGGTGAAATAATCCAAAGCGTCACATTGATATCCAAGCCCTTGGGAAAATGTTTTGGATCAACCATATCCCTCTTAGACTGACCACTTTGAGATAGACCACTCCTGAACAATACTTGTCAATTGACTATATAGGTATGCTTTTAAGATCTTATCCTTACCACAAGACTATCATGTATCTTGTTGTAGGATATTCACACTTGAGGCACATCTAACAAGGTACTTGAGGTCACCCCAAGTATGAAAAGCTCTAGGAAATCACCCCAATCAGAGGAAAAATTGATGAACCAAGGTACTTGAAGTCAAAGAGAGACCAATCCTTGATCCCAGACATCATCTAGGGGAGTACGAGCTATAGAAAAAAGGTCGAGAAAAATCCCTAATGAAGGTTTCCAAGATTTGTACTCGGCACAAAGTTGGAACGCCTCCATGAAAACCCAAGCTCCAGGATGAAGCTGCGAGGGGGAAACTTTTAGATGGGTCCATCACAGCCACCTCAAAATTAGAGAAGGGAAAACATATCTCCAACCTAAAAAGAGACACTCGTATAGAGGAACTGAACAACCCTTGAAAGAACTACATACCCCGTCCTCTGGGCCTATTGGTAGAATCTCCCAATCCAAAGGATTACCAATCGTGACGTCGACTTTAGTTACATTATCGAGAGTGTTCAAAACAGAAGGAGTCCCAACTATTTCAACGGCCACCCAATGATATTTGTTGGCTTTGGCCGACTCAATTAATCGAAGACCTTTACAGGCCAATACATCAGTTCTATGATGATCACCAAGACTCACCAAAGACATGGCATCATGCCTCCCCTGGTACGCCAGGTGACAAGCGATTTCAGCATCACTAGGTTCATGACCAGTTACTACTCCCTGGTATGTTTTGACAAATTTGTCGACACATTTCCTCCTTTGACGCGTAACCTTTATTTCTTCCCCGGTCAAGACATGAGGAGACATTAGTTTCTCAAAAAGGTTTTCACCCCCGTCGGACTTCATCGGAAACAAAGTCTTTGAAGAATCCCTTGAATGAACTTCATCAGAAAGAGATTCCTTAGACATCCCTTCTATTTTTGAATCATCACTCAAGAACATGACTTATGGTTTAAAATCCCCACTGACATAAGGGAAAAAATGCGATTCAAAATCCATTCACATGTTTCGAAGATGAAGAAACATTACCCTCCGTGTCACTCTCAATGATAATAGGGTTACCATTCATCATAACGAAAATGCGATAAATACTCGAGTAAAAATCTGAGGTGAAGAAAAGGTACCTTAAAATATAAGGGCGAAAACATTAAAGCAAGGAAGAGGGCTGAAAGATTGAAGCTTTAATGCTTTGAAGTCTTAAATGCGCAACGGTAGTTACTCTAGAAGAAAAATGCTCTCAGATAAGAGGGAAGGACTCAAAGAGAGAATGTAAACTCATTATATAAGATATCTAAAAGTTTCTCCACGGTCTCACACCATCTTTATATAGACAAAGACAATTAAACGGTTAGGATTGAAAGCAAGAAATAAGGGTGAATCAACAATCAAGTTTCATCTGGGGAACGCAACCAAACTCAAGTGTACTCGAGTATACAGGAGCTGCATCACATCGCTCCATGCATTTTCATCAGGTCACACGTCAAAGAAAAAAAGACGAAATGTTTCAATAACGGGAGTGCATTTAATGCTCACATCCTCATCATGTATTGGAAAAACCAAAGCAGCGCAAGCCAGCCGATGCCTAGACAAACATCCTCAAAGGTCAGTCACGATTATTGGAAGACTTCTCTATCATCAAGCATAGTCACGACTACTGGAAGACTTCCCTGTCATCAAGCATGCCCGACAAAACTGGGACATTTATTCTGTGTCGATCAAAGACCCAATAACACGGACCCATTATCCAACCTGCTTCCTCATGCCTAAGTTATAAATGGTTTTTAGATACACAATCTCTAATCTCAACTTTCACTACACCTATCTTGAACCTTAAACTAACTTGGGCTTGAAGTGATAACCATGCAGATACCCCCTAGGTCCACCGTACCAGAGATAACGAACGTTGATTCCAGATCGGCATCCCTGGTTCAAGAAACACCATGATCAGAACCTTCGAACTAGAGTGTCACATCGTCGTAGTGCTCAGAAAACTTCGTACCACCGTAGTTTCTGCTATTCTCTCCATTTTTAGTTCCGCAACCAAACATTAGTGATCTTATGATGTTTTGTAATTTTTTGTAATTTAAGATTATATTAAAATTTTAATTTAAGAATTATTTATAAGATTCCTGAAAAATAAAATAAGTCTACATTTTATTAATGAAAAAATTTTCATTTGTTGCGAGGATGATAATTTGTTGCGACGATGATAATTTGTTGCTGTAAGTACGAACTTGTTGTTTTATCCATTGAAAATTCAGAAAGATATATCTATTAGAACTGTTTTAAAACGAGCAGCGATTACAAACCGTTGTGATAGCCCCTAGCAAACAATGCTTTTAAGCCAAACACGGAGAGAATTTTGCTATGAAAAACTCTAGAGACCGTTGTCTAAAGATGTTTAAAACAACGGTTAACTACAAGGTGTTTCCGTTTAATGCAAAATCCAATGCGAAAAGATAAGACAACGCATCGGTTAAGCACGGCCTAAAAACCATTTTCATAGATTAACGCAACAGTTTTTCAGATTTCGCAACAGTTTTCAATCGTTTTCATAAGACGAAAATGTTGTAGTGAGTTCAAGTTGTTTGTATAAGTTTGTTCGGTTGATCTTGTGCAAAGGCTTAATGTTTAAAGTTTTAGAGATGAAACTATGTAAAAGTGCTAGTTAATGTTTAGTGGAAAATTCAAGAGAAAACTCTTGAGGACTAGAGTATGTCGCGTAGTGGATATTGGCCAATTTTTGGTTTCCATAACTCATTAGTGGCTGGACCCAATCTCTCTACCTTGTTTGAGAGAGCACTTGTCCAACACATGTAAATATATATAGTAAAGTTTAAAAGAATTCTCACCATTTCTAATGTAGACACCCTCTGGAAAATCCTTTGGAATTTGTCCTTGGATGCTACTCACAACTATGGCTTCCCCTAACTCTTCCACAGGAGCAAAGTTACTCTGCACAACATTCAACGGAACATAACACAAATTAAATGTTTATTTGAAGGCAAGAAAGAAGAGTATTAACATATATACCTTAGATGGAAGCAATGGCTTGTCAATGAATTCAAAGAATGAATCCACAAACACATCAACTAATTTTGCAACACTATTTTTCATTGTTTTGGCAACATCAAATTGCAAAGACACTTGAGGTAGAGTTGATCTCAGGTTTGCCTGCTCAGCGAATTAACTAACCAGTCAGTTTCTTTTGCAGCAAAAATAAGTAAAAACAAAATTCTCCCATATAGAGATGTATACCAATTGTACTTACCTTAAAAATAGAAAAAAGTGGAATATTTTTGTCTTGAGGGGAATTTTCTGAGACATGGAAGGGTTTTTTGTGAATGGAGCAATTTACTATAAATGCAATGGCCATAGCCTTTATAGGTTTATTTTGTAGAATGTGTTTATATATAGAATTATGTGTACAATTTAAAAAATGTTGATCTCTATATATAGAATGAATGTGAGTAACTAGTGGTGTATTTAAAATTAGAAGAAAAAAATGAAGATTAGATGTAAAATTGAAAATGTATTAAAATGTACGTTTGCACGTGGAAAAGAGAAGCAACTTGTAACAAAAATGAAAGAGAAAAGAAAGGCATCTATATGCAGCGCTAGGTGAAATCCGGTTTTTGACGTATACGTATCTTTTCAAAAATAAAATCTATTTTTTCTTGAGTTTGTTTAGTCATATACATTAACTTATGTATATTTTCTTGTAATTTTTTAAATGAACATATTAAATTTTAATCAATGGTAGAATATTCATTAAAATAATTGAGAACAATGCGGAAAGTTGTTTCATTGTATAGATTAATGTCTATGAAGTACGAATATTTTTAGAAGTAGGTGTGTCGCGGTGTCAGATACGTGTCGATGTTTGACATTTGTATGACACTCGTACGATACATGTCGAAAAAGTCAAACAAGTGTTGAAAAAGTCAGACACGTGTCTCCAAAAAATTAGTATTTTTTCTTGATTCAATACATTTTGAATCGGTATCTAATATCCATATGACACTAATGCAACATGTGTTCGACAATTTAGACAAGTTTTCTTTAAAAAAGTTGTGTTTTTCTTTTCCTCATCACACTTTATACATTTTCTAGACAAATATCACACATGATTAGAAGAGTTAAACATGTATCGAAGCAATGTTATTAATCAAGAATTAAAGAGATTAATTTTGATTAGAATGTTTGTAACTCTTTTGATATTAGATGAATTAATGAAACTTAAATACTATAACATATATAGCGGTGTCGGTGTCCTAAATTTTATATATATCGGTGTGGAGTGTCCGTGTCCGTGTCGTATCGTGGTGTCTGTTTCGGAGTCTGTGCTTCATAGATTGATGCAATCTAATCTCAATATTTTCTTATCAGTGTAATTATGTTATCATTTATTATTTCTATTCTTGCGTAAAAACAATAAACAAGTAACTTCTCTGTAGAAACACAGAGAGTCTCAACAAGTAGATTTATGTAGTATTTGTGGGGATTTGGATGTTACATGATATTGTGTATTGACCCAAGATGAATGTCTTGTTTATCCTTATGACAGGAGTCCCTTTATATAGTCTTCATTTTGTGCCATTAAGAAACTCAATCAATAGGTGACTCTTTGGTTTCCTAACAGCATAATCGCTGCTGTCACCATGAATGAGTGTGTTTCAAAATTTGCGTAATGTTGAGTTTAATGTATCGACAATTGTTATGATCATTAATGAGTTGGGTTGCTAGTCGGCTTTGAGCAGGTGGTATCCTGTTACATGAAATATTCAATTTAGTAGCGTAGATGAGCTGCTGTCCGGATACAATGACCGTCGTTTCTAACCTCTAGCCGAGTTGCATCTCGTCTCCGACACTCATCATTTTTACAGACTATATACTTTCTTTATCCTCTTTTCAGACGATTCTACGATCCGGTCAAGGCTAATATTCTTAAAATATAAGTTTATATATTCTTTTAAGTTTATTCAAACCATGCAATCTTTTATCTTTTAATTTTTTTAAAATCTTTGATGAATTTGACTCAATTGAATTTTGTAAAATGATAAATTTTGATTTTTAAAGTAGTTCTTCTATTAATTTTTTATGTCATTTTTTAAAAAATTATTTACCATTTGATACATATTTATACTATTTAATGTAAATTTTTTTAAATTTAATACTTTATTTTTTGTTTTATTGTAGTTAATTATTTAGTACTTGTATCTAACATTTAAACTTTTACAAGTAGTTAATTATTTATTTAAACTATTATTATATTTTTATTTTAAAAATTTGTATTAGTGTTACATGTTAATCATTATCAAATTATAATTAATTTAATCGAATAAATAGTCCGTTTAACTCATTTACAATTATAATTTAATCATTTAGTTAGTTAAATAAATGAGTAAAAATAATGTTATGACTTAACAAAAAATGGATTTATTTGACACGAAAGATAAAAGAAAATATATTTTCAGAACATCTTAGAGTATCCACATCCATCATATCCATTTAGATTTTTTAAATGGATCTACATAATTTTTTATATTATTTCACACTTCTCAATTTTTTAAACAACTCATCTACAATTCTCAAATATCCATGTAACTCATCAAAAAATTTAAAATGGGTCTCACATTTAAAACAAATCAACTACATTGTTGCAATTTTATTTATTAATTTATTATCATGACCCACTTAATTGAAGTGTAGAAGCGTGCTTTAGTTCAGAAACGTGAAAATAAATGAAATATCTATTTATTATTAACACAATTTCTTTAATAAATGTGTAGGAATTCTCAAAGAACATCGATAATCATGCGTGATTTTTCTTTAAAAAATAATTTTTTTCTCAAATTTAAACATTGACTTTGTGTTTTGATATTTAAAGTTTGTTAAACTACATATTATTATATATTTAGTTAAAAATATATACTTTTCATTTATCACATTCTATAATATAGATACCAATTATGATTAATTTTCATCAAGAATACCAATTATGATTAATTTTCATCAAGAATAACCTGCAAATTTGTCTTACATGAGTAATAATCTAAGTTAGGTGTGAAATTTATAATTGCTAATAAAATCTTATCGTTTTCATTAATCATATCATAATTAGTGGACGCTAATATTTTCTAAATAGGTTAATCAATGGATGGGGTGATCATGATTAATGGTGAACATAAATAATGTCTATAGAAATTTGGAAGGATGTCATAAATGAATTAAATTTTGAAAGATGGCAATATAAATAACGGTGAGATAAATAAATTTAATAATAATAATAATAAGTATAATTATTTAAAGGATTGTGACATTATTTAATTCATATATTTGATTTGACTAAAACATGTAACAATAATTTAAATTATATAGTTAATTAAGTAAATAAGCTGACGTGGAACATTTGTTTGTATTGTAAGTTACTTAGTTGTTGAAATATTAGAGTTTCTATTTAGAGGTTTGGTTTTAGTATATTATTATATATAGATTTTTTCACTTAAAATCATATCAATTGCTAAATGGTTGTTTTATCGCATTGGTCCACGTAAATACGATATCAGGACCACTATTGTTCTATTCTTTCAAGGATCAATTGAAATTGTATGTTAAGAAGATGTCTCAACTATGATTTTGATAATCTAATACAGACTTCTATATTCCACAACTGACTTCAACAATCACCAAACCTTATCTTGGATTCAACTTCATGTCAAAGAAGGTTCAAAATGCAATTTGTATCATTAAAAGGACAACAGTTAATAACCATACTTTGTATGATCAAGGAGGAAACAATAACGATCAAGGAGGAAATAATCCAAATTATGGTAAAGGATGAAGATAGCGTGCAGGTCTGTCCAAGAGACAACAACAATACTAAAATTACAATGAGAATCCACCTCAACCTAACATAACTTCAAAGTTAAAGGAAACTCTTAATCAGCTTAAGCAAATTTCAATGACCAGCCAAAAAAATAGTGATGTGCACCTTAAGAAATTTGATGCATCAATCAAAAACTTTGAAGTACAAATGGAAAAAATAGCAAAGTGTGTGGCTGATTAACAAGGAGAAATTAACTACCAACACTTAAACCAACATAAAGGAGAATTACTACACTATAGCACAAGGAGCAGAAAGTGATTGGTAAAACTAATCTTGCACTACTATAAAAACACATTTAATCTTGGTTAGATATAAGATATTACCTTGATTTCAATACGAGGTAACTAAGAACGTCACAAAAAATTTGTCACTTTACCTCTCTGTTTTAACTCAATCGGTAGCTAATGTGTAAAAGTAATGGGTTTGATTCCTAGAGAGATCCTTTTTGAAAATTTTAAATGGCGAAAACATCTTTCCCCTCAGATTTGAAATTCCACCGACGACACCTTTCACCTCGATTTTGACATTCCACCGATGGGTAAAGCACGGTTGAGTTTATTATATCTAATTTGAATTTCTCACTTCACTAATGATAAGTGCAAAGTATAGTTATTTTGTATATATTTTTTGTTGCACTTATCGACTCTTTGTTGTTAATATCAGTTAAATAACTCTGTTTTTTGTTGTAAATACGTTTAGTTGCGTTTTGAGTACATATTGTATCAGTTGATTAGTTTTGTATATGTTTTGTAGGTATTTGAGCATTGTTGGAGCAAGAGGAATAAAGCTCCAAGATGCATTTTTGGATCAATAAAGGAATAAGGCCAAGATTGGAGGCCATTGGAAGTTATGCAGAGAAAGCAACAAAAGTTGCTTTCCTGTCATGCGTCGCCAGGCTAAAGGGAGCGTTGCAGGGAAAAATTTTGAAGACCAATTTTGATGAAGTCTCTACCTTGCGTCGCGTCTGTGTCGCCAGGCGAAAATAAGGAGAGTCGTCGGACGATGAATTGTGGTCGCCGGACAACGATAGATATTTGTTTCAGTTGAGGACGTGCCTTATTCTGGACCAAGTGTATAAGGACTGTCGTCGGGCGACGCGTGCGGATCAGAATTTTGTTATATTTTCCTTTTCATTTCATTTGGAGAGTTATGGTTTTTAGGGATGATTTTTGTTCTCCCAATTTCATCAATCTTATTTTTATAGTGGATTAACTTAGATAACAACACTAGGGTTGCATACGGAAGATCGGGGGTGGATTGCTCGTCGACCGACTCTGACAATCCGGAAGATTTGTGGTTTATCTCTTCTCCTCTCTATGTATTTCTTTTCTGTTGGGTTTTGTATGTATTTTACTCTGAACATATGTATATTTGTCGCCCATGGCATTATTTTGGTCAGGTAACTTGTAGAATATTTAGGTGATTTGTCAAGTTTGGTCGTTTCGACTTGCGAATGTGTGGTAATTATTTTGTTAAAGTTTTGTACA